CAGACAGCCGCGGGCCACGCTGTGGAGGAGGGTGGGCGGGAGGGGAGGGCAGTGAAGGGCATGAAAGGTCAGAACAGGGCCTAGGCACATTCCTGGGTTATTACAGGTTTGGGAAAACTGGGCTTCTCAGTACGTCACCTCTCACGTGTGTCTGTCTGCGTTAACCTGTGATTGTGCGCTGGGCACAAAGGTGTACACTTAGCGCAGGGCTGCTGTGAGGTGGGGTGTCTACGAGGTGCTGTGTACTTCTGAGCATGTGTGAGGGGAGGTGTATGTTTTATTTTAGTAGGCTTGTAGAACATGGGTTGAAGTCTGGTAGGCATGGATGTGTTGTATAGCAACTAGGAGGATGGGTTGCTGGTTGTGTAACTGCATCGGGGTGGAATTGTGGAGACTATTAAGTGGGGAAAGCAGTGACCCTCCTGTCAGAAGGGCACTATCACAGCCATCATGGTTGCCATGGCGACTGTTGAGCAGGAAGCCCTCTTTCCACAGGCCTCAGACAGTGAAACTGAGGCCCAAGGAGAGAGGATTAGATCCAACAACCTGAGCAGGAAAAAGGCCACTAACCCCTTCACGACCCTTTGGCTTAGGGTTAGAGCTGAGCACCTTGAACAGAGGACTGTGCTCTTGCACTCCCAGCTGGAAGGGAAGCCAAAGCCTGGGTCACTCCTTGGGAACTCTAGTTTCCTGGCAGTACCCCATTTCTCAAGCCCCCTCCACTTCTTCCCAGCTCTTTCCGGGTGGCCTGGGAGTGGAGGGCATGGGAGAGGCCTGCAGAGCCAGTGAGGGCAAGATGTGGGTGCCGGAGTCGGTCCCCGGCCGGTCTCTCTGGCTAAGGGTGCCAGTGCTGTAGCCTGCAGGGGGCCCCCAGAGCTTGCCGAGGCAGAGGCGGGTTAAGCTGACCTCCCCGGCTGGAGCCTCCCAGTCCCACTGTGCACACTTGGTAAACTCCACAGCGCTGGCTCCCATGGAAAGCGGCACAGGAGGCCCAGCACAGTGAACCCACGGGATGAGGTGAGCGGGTGCCCCCCAGCTCCAGGGCTGTAGCTGAGCTGCCCTGACTGCAGTTTTGCGTGGCCACCACTGGGGGGCAGGCGTCCACAGGCTCCTCCTTCCTTCCCAACTCCCCCAGAAGCCAGGGAAGTAGGGGGCACGGGGCTCTACTACAGGTGTGGGAGGAAAGGCCACCTGGGCTTCTCCCTCCCCAAGGGGAGTTAAATCAAGCTTTTCTTTGGTTTCTCATACCTTAGAGGCTACTGATTTAAGGTGAAATCTGCAAATACCTCATGTCTGTCTAAAGTCCCTTCCTTGCCTTAACAACAGGTCCCTTTGTTTCAGCCAGGTGGACTGCTTCACTGTTCCTCAGTCACACCAAACTCAGCTCTGTCTCAGCGCCTTTGCACTTGCTGCACTCTGCCTGGGATGCCCTGCTTCTGGTCTCCCTCTATACTGCAGTCCTTTCCCTCCCTTGAGAGCCTCCAGTCCTCACTGTCTGCCAGTTGCCAGAGCTCCTGATGAATTCTGAACTGAGCCCTCAAAACCCAGCACTGAACCCCATATTATTGGGGGAACAGGAAACAGACAGTGCAGCACGAGAGACTGGTGCAGACCCCAGCTTTGCGCAGCACTTTACTCCTGGTCAGATGGTGGCATGTTGCAGCATGGCAGGGGTGG